AGACAGAGAGGTGGGGATGGGGGTGGGATAGAGAGGGGGGGCTAGGGGGAACTGGGAGGGGGTGCTGGCTGGCTGTAGACTATGTTGTCATGTATCACCGGCAGCTCAACCCGTCACCAACAGTTTCCTGCAGAACAGGCTATTGCCCGGTTGCCGAGCAAACGCCCGTCGCTGCTCTTTTCTCGTTTCTGAAACACGACAGTCATCTGATTTGAAAAAGCCGCAGTCCTCCAATTTCCAACCTTCCTATTTTCTGTTTTTCCTCCTCCTCCTCCTCCACCTTATCCCCTCCCTCCTTTTTCTCTTCTTTCTTTTCATCCTTCTCTTTCTCCCACTTCTTTCCTTCTCCCTATTTCTCATCCTCTTCCTCCTCTTCTACGTCGTCGTTGTCGTCCTCTTCCCCCTCCTCCTCTACATCATCCTAATCTCCCTCCTCTTCCTCCCAAATTCTCCTCCTCCCCATTTTTCTTCTCCCCCTTCCCTCCCTCCTGTAGCAGCCCATCCTGTACCTGGTGGGAGGTTGGCGGATGCCACAGCCTGTAGAGCGGTGTCCACCGACGTTCGGTCCAGGACGGACGCGGTAGAGGCCAGAGACCTGGGGGAGGAGGACAGAGAGCCAGGGTCCGGGTCATCACTGCCAAACATTTTCTTCCACTCCGGGTTCTGGGATACAGAGAGATTGGAACCGTTCAGAGACAAAACTTTTTTTAAATATTTAGTGACAAAAACTATATGAACTGAAACACAAGTAAAGGGTCGAAAACATTTATGACATTAGCAACACAATATGAGTGCCGAAGATTAGAGGTGTTACTAGATAGGAACATACAAATATAATGGATGTCTGGTGTTTGATTGGAAAGAAGGAACAAACCACACTAGAGCACCTGCCAACCAGCCAACCACTCACACTGTCACAGTGAGAACAAATTACAAAAACTTTAGGGAGACAGCCACAAACTATCCAGGAGGAAAGTTGTAGCCAAAAGTGACCATCTTATAGTGTCACTATAAAGAAAGGACACGGTGGGGGGGGGAGATAGGAAATGGAGGTTTGTACGAGTGATTGTCTTAAACAAGTGGCGGTTGGGGCAGGTTTGACTGTTTATGTACATGTCTTCTTTACTTAAGCAACGTTCCACCAAAAAGTTACCATCCTCAACAACTAAACAACTTTCCCTACTCCTAAAACAAGCTCCCCTCTCCATCTCTACTCTTTGACCACTAAAATTTTGCGGTACCTGTACAAATTCATGGCTCTCCTGGACAAATATTTGTCTTCACCAAACAAATGTGCTTTGTCCAATTACGAAGTAGGATGTTCCTTAACAGGAAAAAGTTCCCTTCAAGAGTTGCTTCATGTCATCATCCATTCTGGGTCGACTCTCACAAGTAAGACAGTTTCTTTGTTCACATGCTGACACAGAGAAGACATGTCTATATCCACACACAGATGTCAATGGCCAGATGACATTCACCACATGACTTAGTACCAGTTGTCCACACATCGGATTCCTCAATCGTATGACCTTGTTATTTACCTGGTTCACTATCTATAGATTAAATTCCCCAGTCAAAATGACTCCTTGCCATGATCGAGTTCTCTACACATCACATTCCCCAGCACACATTTCTCTATATTTAAGTTCTCCTCTTTACTCAAGACAGACTCACATCCAGTCCTCACTTTTAAAAGACGTGTCCAGTACGTCCATTTGTCTGAATTCTGTGCCACCGGATCAGTACATATGTGGCAAGAAGAGTGATGGTGATCGTGTAAATGAAGAGATTGGTGTGTTGTACATGTGAAGACAGGCTTGATACAGTCTACTATGTTGTGATCACACCGTCCAAGCAAATCGTTTTTATTTGACATCCATGCTTTGACCCTCAGAGTCCCCACTATCATCTCAGCTCTAACACAACCACCCCACCTCACCCCAAGGACATGTGATCACAATGCTGTGAGAGACAATCATTTTCCCCCATGAGACGATTGGCCAGCAGCATTGACCTCAGTGTCTAAGCCAGAGTCTCCTCTGCTACCCCCTTCCCCCCCAATCTCCCTCTTTATTCTACTCTCCCTCTCTCCTCACTGTTCTCTCCATCTTCCCATCTCTAATCTCCTCCCTCAACTCTCTCTCTCTCTTTCCTCCTTTCTCCATCTCTTACCCCCCTCCTTTGTCTCTTCGTCTTCCCATCTCCAACTCTCCTCATTCAACTCTCTTTCTCTCCTCCTCTCTCCATCTCTTACCTCCCTCCTTTGTCTCTCCTCACTGTTCTCTTCGTCTTCCCATCCCAAATTCTCCTCCCTCAACTCTCTCTCTCTCCTAATCTCTCTATCTCTTATCCCCCTCCTCCGTCTCTCCTCACTGTTCTCTTCATCTTCCAATCTCCAACTCTCCTCGTTTAACTCTCTCTCTCTCCTCCTTTCTCTATCTCTCCCCCCTCTCCTCTCTCTCTCCTCAATGCTCTCTTCATCTTCCCATCTCCAACTTTCCTCGCTCAACTCTCTCTCTCTCCTCCTCTCTCTATCTCTTCCTCCTCTCCTCTCTCTCTCCTCACTGCTCTCTTCATCTTCCCATCTCCAACTCTCCTCGCTCAACTCTCTCTCTACCTCTCTCCTCCTACCTCCATCTCTTCCCCCCCTCCTCCCTCTCTCCTCTCCATCGCTTGCTCTCCCAACCAATGATGTCGCAGCCACCTCCAGCTCTTCGGGCCTCTCCACGAAGTAGAAGCCATGGACATATCGACTGAAACGGATGCTGAACTCTATGTCGGTCGCACTGCAATACCGATCAGAGCGTTCCTGGCACAGCTCAGGGTGGTCTTGGGGCCGCGGGTCCAGGAGAGACAAGAGACGACCTTCATCGTGAAGAGAGCTGTAGAAAGACGAGGGGAACCGTTCGCGATATGGCGCGCCTAAATTAACCCAGGTGGCCGTGTCGTAGGAGAGAAGCGGCGAACCACCCTCATCACTCCATCTACGAGCTCCTTGTGGGGACAGAGTCAGATATTTCCTAGACAGCCATCTGACCTTAGATCGAAAGCGGCGAGCCCACGTCCATCCTGCGTTGTCACTGCCTAAAGGCCCCTCGCCATTCCACAGGATCTCGTGCGCCGGGTGAAACACAAAGAGTTGACCACCATGAATCATCAGAGACACATCCTCCGTACCTATGCTCCCAACATTCAACTGGAGCTGATATTCTTCCCCCTGATCAGACACACTACCTTCATTCTCATCATCCTCCGCTGAACCGTAAGTTGCCATGTCAAACACCAACTCAGACCTGAACAAATCACTTCACTTCCACAATCAAAATTGCAATGTCACACTTCAGGGCTGGCTGCAGGAAATAATCTAAATACAACTTGTTGCCCACAGAAAATGATTAGAAACATGTGCGTCACTGAAAACAATTGCCATAAACGTGTTTGTGCAATGAGCTGACCATCTTTTAAAATGTATAAAACATGTAAAAATGGCTTGACACTTAACATTTATCTGGCTGGTCACAGAAATGCCCCTCACAAGTCTTGCTGTTAAAAGAAATGTTGAATATAAACAACGACTGTTGACCACAAATAATGGACAGCAAACTTGCTTATCCCACCAAATGTTCTAAAGCAAGCATCAAGCCATAGCCATATAAACAAAATATCTAAAACTTCAGAGAATAAAATCCCAGCTCTTGATACACTGTGACCTTGACTTTCTGTCAAACAGTTAAAACTCCCTCTACCACAAGTAATGAGTGAGCACACATACACACAGTCCCTCTC